GCGTCGAGGCGGGCGTGCAGGTCCTCCACGGCGGGCGGGCTGTCCTGCGGGTCCCCCGGGTGGGAGGGCCGGGAGGAGGAGAGCTTCAGCCTCATCTCCTCCGTCTCCTGGTCGAGGGCCCGGGTGAAGTCCTGGATCTGGAGGTACGTGTCCCTCCGGAACTCCTCCACCCGCCGCTGCACCTCCCGGGCCAGCTCCTCCGCAGGGGCCTGCTGCTGTTGGAGGCTGCCGGGGTAGAGGCTCAGCTTCGCCTTCAGCTGCTCCAGGTTCCCCTGGATCTTCTGGTGGAGGTCCCTGGCGTTCCAGGTCAGCTTTGCAGAGAGCTCCTGGATGTACTGGTTGAGCTTCTCTGGGCTGGCCTGGGTGTGAGGGACGACGTTTCTGTGCAGCTCCTCCACGTTGCGGTGGATCTCGGTCACCAGCCTGTCTGCGTAGGGCTGGAAAATGTCCTTCACCTGGTCGGTGTGGAAGGCGATCTTGTCGGCATAATGAGCCATGAACCTCTGCACCTCGTCTGCACCCTCCAGGAGCTGAGCCGTCGCCTCCCGGCTGGGCATAAGGTGCCACCGGAGCTCCCGGGCTTTCAGGGACACCTGGTCCAGGAGCTCATCTGTGAACGGCTGCAGCCGGTAGCGAAGATCTTCCAGGTGCTTGCCGACCTTGTGGTGGACTTCGTCCACGTACGGGGACAGTTTCACCCTCAGGCTCTCCAGCTCTTTCCTGATGAGTTTCCGCAGACTGTCCGAGTCGTGGTAGAGCCGGGGCTGGAGGCCTCTGTTGAGGGGCGCCAGCTTCTCCAGGAAGTTTCCCATGTAGCTGACCCCATCCTGAATACTTCCCTTCAGGTTTCTGCACGAGACAGCAGACGCGCTTTACTGAGCACCCCTGAGTGACTGCAGCATCTGAGCTCTGCCCTAACACACCCCGAATAAAAGCTGTTGACAGCCACGAGGGCCGTTCCCGTGAGCTTTTCTGTCTCGGGAAAGAGAGTGTGCTGGTGGGGCCTGGGGGAGCTTGCAGGGGCACCACAGGGGGTTACCCTGCATGGGCACTGCAGGCTGCCCCCCCCCCCAGCCCCGAGCAGCGTACTCACACGATGTCCCTGCCCAGCTTGCTGCTCTGGCCGTGCTCCAGGCCTTGTCGCTCGTCAGCTGGCTGAGTTACTCCCAGAAGCCGCTCTGTGCCGTCTCAGCCGGCGACACTGTGGGGAGGGAGGGGGGCAAATGGTTAGTTGGGCAGCTGTGGCACTGCCCACCCCCGGCTCTGCCCGCTCCTGCTGCTGCCGGTCATTCCCCAGTGAGCTGCACTTGGCACCCACCGGGTAAGGTGGCCAGGAGGGTGAGGAGAAGCGCAGCCTTCAGAGGCATGGTCCGCCCGGCCAGCACGCCGCTGTGCTGCGGAGAGAGACAGAGAAGGGGCACGTTAGCTCACGCCATGGCGCGTGTCTCCTCTCTGAGCACCTGAGGCTCGGCGGGCCCTGTGCTTCACGCCCCCCCTCGCTGCTTTCCACCAGGACCTCCCTCCTGGGGTCCCCAGGAACACAACCAACACGCACATGAAATGCCACCTGGTTCCTCTGGCCAGACAAAGTTCAACCACCTGGCTCCTGGTCGCCTCCCGTGTCCCTGCTGCAGGGAGCTGGCCCGCGGCTCCCTTTATATAGGCCCAGCGGGAGGCAGAGGAGCGCAGGCGATAAGGCGCATCTGCAGGGGTAGGCTGTTTGGACCTCACTCCGTGTAAACACAACGTGGAGGTCCGCGGACGTTCCTGAGAGGTGACGTGGGGGCCGGTCATCTGACTGCCTGCCGTCCCTTCGCCTGCCCCACACCACTCCCATCCCACCGCCCTGGCTGGCCTGACCTCGCTGCAGCCGCGGGCAGCCTTAACCCCCTCGGTGCTGCGAGGCTGCGCTGCCCTGCCTCTCCCCGAGTGTCTCCCGGGCAGAGATCTCACGCCGGAGCTGCCCAAATGCCGGCCAGCCACCATCCCCCTGGATCAGCCCTTGTTTTCCCAGCGATAAGGGAGCCCTCGCTGCTTGCTCTGCAGGTTTCTCGGGATGAGGCTGACCCTGCCCTTGCCGCCGACCTTTGCGTCGCAGAGCAAACGGTGGGTGGGAGCTGCCAGGGAGGCGGGGGGTGCAGAGCAGCAGGACGGGGATGGGGACGGGGACACTAGCTGCAGCTTACCTTCTGGTTGCTCCTGGCGCAGGGGCTCGCAGCCCAAACCAGGGCAAAGGGAGCCCGGACCTCCGGGATGGGGCCAGGGTGGGTGCGGGAGGACAAGCCTGGCTCAGGCAGTGCCAGGGAAGGGTGAAATGAGCGCAGTGGCCGTGTCTGCAGCCCGGGCAAGAGAAGACGCCTTCCACATGGGCTGCCTGCTTGCACGCTGCCAGCTGCACGGCCCCATTTCCCACTGGGATACCAAACCCGCCACGTTTTGAGGTATTTCCTCCGCAAGTTGCCTTTCCCCCGGGGAAAAAAAAAGGCAACGTTTTCAGCTCGGTTCTCATCCCCGTGCAAAGTACCAGCTGCTGACACCAGGCTTTTAAATCAGGAGAGCGCTGCAATGTTTGCACTGAAGCAACCCAGCAAACAGGGACCCACTGGGACCGATGTCTCCCCGGCGGGGCTGGGCTGGGTGGTCGGGGTGCGGGGCTGGGGGGCAAAGTCCAGCACACCGCAGGGATGAAACTCCAAGCAGTCGCCAACACTCCTCTGGCACCAAAGTCCACTCTGCTCCCTGGCCCGTGGGGACGCGCAGGGTTGCCCTGAACATCCCTCCTGCTGCTGCAGCCCATGCGGGAAATCGCTCCATCCGTGGGAGCAGTCCTTGCAGGGCGCCCACCAGCAGAGCGGCTCGGGGTGCTCGCTGTGGCCCAAAGTCCCCTTTTCTTCTCCCTGAGCCAGGAATCTTCTGGGGAGAAGGGCCCTCTCCCCACCAGCCCGAGCCCCGCTGCATCTGGGCACGGTCCCTGCAGGGCCGTGGGGTGGGGGGATGAGGTGTCCACCACCCACCCAGCGCGGCCTGCAGGGACCTGTCGCCCGTGGCAGCAGGTAGGCAAC